CATGCAATCCGCACTTAATCAGCTGGCAATCAGTGTCCGTAAGAATGTGTATGTGCTTCGCACCTTCGAAGTGCAAAGTACTTCTACAAGACTGGCAGGATCGTAATCCTGTACTCACCCTGGATGGTGACCAGAAAGAAGTAGTCGAGATGTTCGTGTATCTGGGTAGCTGCATAAGTGCTGGTGGTGGCGTTAGTGATGAGGTCAATTCAAGTATAGTGAAAGCCAGAGCGCCTTATGCCAATCTGGGCCACTATTGGCACTTTCGTGATATCAGTCTGGCTGTAAAAGGCCGGATCTACAACGCGTCGGTGAGAGCAGTTTTGCTCTATGCTTGTGAAACCTGGCCTCTCCTAGTTCAGGATGTCAGACGAGTCTCTGTGTTCGATCATCGCTGTCTCCGAAGGATTGCTGACATTCAGTGGCAACACCATGTCAGTAATGCAGAGGTTCGGCATCGTGTGTTCGGACACATAGACGATAATGCGATTGGTGGCACCATCTTGAAACATCGACTTCGGTGGCTTGGACATGTTCTCCGAATGTCGTCCCAGAGAATTCCACGTCGTGCATCATTTGCGGACGCCGGGACTGGTTGGAAAAAGCGGAGAGGTGGTCAGTATATGACATGGTGTCGGGGTACGAAAGAAAGCTGCAAAGGGCTGACTTCTGTTGTTCCTTCGCAACTCCCTGGCTGGTGTCCGAGAGATGGTGCGACACAGTGGCTAGAGGCGTTAACAGATATGATTCAGAATACAAGCCAGTGGCGATCCTGCTGTAACCTTCTTTTACTTTCTTCATAAAAAGTGGTTGTATCTTCCTTAACTGAAATTCTTCTGGTTGTACCTTTCCGTTTTCTCCATTATTATTATTACTTTACATTAACTTACACTAATCTGTGGTTGTTATTGTTCTTCTTTTTTTCTTTTACGCTCCTTACCTTCTCTTTTCTCTATTCCCATTCTCATTGTTTTGTGTGACACATATATATTTGGTGCCCCCTTGTACCAATATTTATGTGTTCAAACAAATAAATAAATAAATATCCTAGTGAAGATTAGATTATAGGTAACTTCTGAGAACTATTAATGAACAAATATTATATATATATTGCATAACTATTCAGTAAGTAGATTGTGTATATCTATATTCCTTTTATCATAAGCTTTATTTTAACTTGTAGACTATTATTATGCGATTTGCTGTTCTTAAGCTATGTCCAGTTTATTAATCACAGTCTTCCACGTTGACAGCCACTTTTTGGCCTGATCTTGTACAAATGTTACTTCCTGTTTTGTGGTGTGATGTGGTCTGTTTGGCTGGTATATGAACCAATTATGTTTGAAATAAGCCGTTATTGGCGTTCTGGACTCAACTGGAAGGGGTAGGAGAACAAAGGACCCGCCATATACTGGTTCCGTAGGTATATATATATATATATATATATATATATATATATATATAAACGCATGTTTAGAGTCTTGATTGAGTATATTTTCAGGCCTGAGGACGAAGTTGGACAGCTGACTGTAGGGGGGTGTGATGAGATACTGAATCTCTATTGATTGAGATGGTTCGCACATGTAATTACGTATGTCCAGCCACTGCCTTCTATATGGTTGGGGTAAGCGCGATTATCGTAACCAATCTTTAGAGACTGGAAGACTGGGCTCAAAGTTATTTGCATAGGTGTACCCATTCTATATTGCCCTATGTCTTAAGTCGTTACATTTCTTTATGAAAATTTATACGCCTAATGATTTTTTTATTACCATATGATGTGGCAAGAGAAAATAAGAAATAACTGGCCACCGAGCAAAGATAGACATTCACCTGTAGGAAGTATCAAAAGACTATATGATACTTTGAATTCGTTCTACTATCGATTTCTCTGGATTCAAAACAGTGCGTGGAGTTGTTGTAATTATGTTAGTAAATTTTTACCAATTTAATCTGATTCTCAATAGTTTCATCCGAAAGTGTGTATCTTGTATCGAGCGCAGTGATCGAATAATCTAATACCTGGGTGTATCAAGCTCGGATTTTCAGAAAACCGTATTCCATCTCTCTCTTGCTCTAGCACAGAGAGACAAAATTATCAAGCAGTAGCAATATCAGTAATAATAAGAAAGATCAGACACACAAAATGGTGTTAGAAGATCCTGGGGCTCATGTTCTAAGGGAAAATAAAACTGAGTGCACCTACACCATTGTGAAAGACTCTGAGCTTTGTCATTCAGTCTCTAAAGATTGGTTACGATAATCGCGCTTACCTCGATCATGTAGTCTGCACATATATACATGGTTCATTCCAACAATCAATGAATTTAAGGACTGATACCGCGTTTTATTTAAATGTGCCTAGCTTTCTTACAGCCTACTCTTACAATAACTTTATAGCTCTGGGGTTTGTTTTGTCAATTTGAAATTACTACCTTTATGGGATGTGGCGACTTGAACCGTTAGATATATGTGCCAGGTTTTATGTTGCATGTGATTGAATAAATAAATAGGAAGCGTGATAATCACGAGAGGGAAATAAAAAGTCTAGTTTACGAAAATGATATAAACTAACTAGGACACTAATAGAACATGATACTTGATCTCTAAGTGAACAACTGAGGTTCTATTATATAATATTATCTACAAAAATAGCTTAATGTTAAGATATGTGTTATGAGAATAAGATCTCAAACGTTCACTTCACTTCGCACAACACTGAGATTTTCGACTAGTAGTTCTTGGTGAGAATTAGGTGTTTGGTAGAAATCACCTGTTTCTTTAAGCTTATGTGCATAATCACAGAGTATCGATTCACGAGTATTAGGGTGAAGTGACAAAATGAAAATTTAAATTCGGGAAAATATTTTTGAGCGAGTTAGGTTATTTATTTTTATGTTTATTTACTACACCATTGGTACTTTGTAACTTTTATTGAAAGCCGTTTTAGTGAAATTTGTATCATTTTCCTTAATACTCGTTGAGCACATTGTCATTTGGAGACATAACAAAAAAAATAAATGAAAAATCACTCGGTAGAAAGTTCAGGCTCTGAGTTCGAGTCCTGCGTGCAAGATCGTGAATATGCACTACTGAGGAGTCCCACACTAGGAGAAAACGGTTGTCCAGTGCTTCCAGGTTTTTATTCGTGGTCGAACATTTATCGGGTCGTGATCTCAATTAACCTCCACAACCCTATACTGATTTTTATAACATGATCGTTTGCTGAAAAATAAAGTAACGGTCCCGCTGTTAAAAAATGCGTAGTTTTTGTAAAGAATATGATTAATTCCCAGTCACATTTAATTTTCAGCCATTATATCTAATTAAAATCAAAGTTTGATTGAGTTTATCGAGAACAAAGAATTAAATCGAGATACTAGCCCCAAGTTGAGTAATCCTATGAGGGTCAAAATATTGATCAAGTCGAACATGATCTAAAGGTTTGACTGTTTCCACCAGGAACGCGAAAGCGAAATTCAAAAGTATACATACATGAGAAATATTTAAGCTCATAGGAAAACAATAATTTAAAAATCACCAGACATTATGTTATATTTTTTACTGTTTCAAAAGGGAACGTTTACCTTCATATACAAATAAGTTTAACAAACAATGGAATATGAGCATTACTTTCTAATAATAAAATTTTGACATTTAGACATTTAGATAGTCTGACAGGTGTTAGATGAGTTATATATTCCCCTACCCAATTATTATTATTGGTTGTTCATTGTTGTTGGATTGTGTTGGGTTTCGGTGTGGAAATATATTTACGTTCTAGTCAGGCTAATCACGTGTTCTTGATCTGAGTTGTGTTGAAGTCCTGTAAAATAAATACTGGAAGGGAATCTAGTGTAGATATTCATCTAAGGTAAATTAACGTCACATTCGTGTAAACGTGGAAAACCAACCGTTAAAACAGAAATATTAAAGCATTTATGAGTATTAGTAGGAGATACCAGGATGTTTATTGACATTCTGTTAGTTTTATGTTCTGTCTAGATCGTAGACGGGTGTTGATGAGGAGTCCCAAACTAAGACAAAACAGCATTCCAGTGCTACCTAGTTTTCAACTGATATCCAGTTTACGTAGGTTCTTGATATGAGTAAACAATTGAAGTTCAGCTAGCAAATACATTCAAAAAGATAAAAGTAATTATGAATATGAGTCATCTTAAGAAACCTACATTGTTGGACCAAAAAGAAATACCAGACGTAAACAAGGAAACCTTCCAGAAATTTAGTAATATCGTATATTACACTCACTTATTTGTATGTACTATGTACTGGTAGTAGTAATAAAGATATATAAGTTCCAGAGGAATAATAAATATCACTGTAATAGAGATAATTTAGTATAACAAGATAGAATCAGGCCTCAAACGTTAAACTACCAAGTTTGCAAAACTTAACTTAGTATAACCACCGACTCCAGTCACAATAGCTAGTCTGTTAGATAACAGTTTATCTATGGTGTGAAATATTTATGATTATAAGGTATGCAGTGGAGTATGAAAAGTTGCTCAATGTAGAAAAAAGGTAACCGATATTCAAAATAAATTATTCGGAAAAGGTGTTTACGATGTTTTGAAGCCAACGTTCAAATTCTAAGATGCTGGTATTATATGAGTTACTCAATATATTGAATACTGAATTCCAGGTGTGTAATTTCGACAACACCTGAATTCACGTAGATGTGGGTTGTTAATTGAATTTTTATTTTCTTATTTTCTTCCGAGTCGACGTTTTAAACACTAAATTACACTATAATCCGTTTTAAATACATCAGATATAATAAATGATAAGTTGAAAATCAAATACGTAAAAATCTTGGGAATGAACACATAAAACCAGAGATTTTGATTGACATCAACTTATACATGACATCCGAAAATAGATGTCTCAACAGATTTGTTTTTCTGTGACTTTTATGAGCAGAAAAATAAACAGGAGGTAAATATCTATACAAGATTTAGATAGAAATTATTATGACTTACCAAATACAATGCTAGAGCTTGGATTAGACACTGAGTAGCAAGAATCATTAATTGCCACAGGCACTGTTTCGAGCCACTAAAAATCACCAGAAATATTATAGTTAAAATGAGAGGTTTCAATATTGCTATTTGTAATTGTTATACTCCACACATAAACACGATAAAACCAAAAGCTTGTAGAATGCCTTTGACCATTTCTGAATTTCAGCATAACTTTTCAATTGTACACTGAGTGAATAAACATATTGCTTTAAGTGACACAGATAATCAATATGTGGGTTGTAAATACTTGAGGTTTTGTATAAATTTTCCTAAACAAGTATATTTTGAGCCGATATTAGTTCTGAATATTAGTCTTCATTTAACAGCTTTACGGATATTAACTGCTCTTAGAATTGAGATCAAAAAGAGAGATCAATGTATTATGTCTAAAACGCTACATTTACCAATGTAATCAACATACATATACGATAGATTAGTGAGAAATCATAGTTTTATTTGGTTCTGATTAGAAGTTTATTCTTCTTTTGCACAATTAGCAGCGGATTCTCACTGATCAGTTAATACCGACGATGAACTAGACACAAGTGTACATCGAGCTCAAATTACTACACCTCATGTCAGCTCATGAACTGATTTCATGTCTTGTCTAGCTTACTAGTTTTCTGCAAACTACATCAAATGGTGTCTAAGTAACTGCAAATATATCCCATCTCAAGTCGATAAGGGTTTACAACTTGATCATTGCATTTTTACAATTAATCTAGTATTATATGCACAACCTCAACATTGTTCACCCAGTGGCTTCATTATGTACGAGCACTGCTTCAACGATACCTGAATTCAAATACTTGCAACTTAAGTGTTTTCTATTTTTATATATTATGTTTCGGACCCGCAAAGCAATACCGAGAAAATTAATGAGGGACATATTCACCCATTGGTTGACAGATGGATACTTTCCTCATGATAGGTGGTGAGATTTAGCAAAGTTGGTGAAGGCTCTTTTATGACGAGATTTCATCAAATACTAAGCTACTAAAATTGAAGAGGTTTCCAAGATAATGAAAGCGGTTAATGCACTCCAATACTCAACTCCCTATAGTCAAACTAAGCAAACTAAGCCCTATTCAACGACATATGTATGTATTACTAAGCAATAACGCACCTTGTCACTATACATCATGTTAAATTATTGAAAAGTATGAATCAAAGACTAAAATAAAAATTTACCTGGGTAGGTAAAAAAGTATCCACTAATCCAACAAACGCTGCACCGATGAACAATCCACACATTACAGGGAAGACGCAATATGCACCTAGACCTAAGTCAATTTTAGCCATCTCCAATGCTGGTTCTAACAGGGACCAGAATGATGCAGCTAACATAATCTATTGATGCAAAATTAAAACAATATATGCAACTATACAATCAACCATAAGGTAGTCATGCTTAATTGTTTTGACCAGGATAATATTCTACAATACATCTGTGAAAAATTGATGAAAATAATTCAAAAACCATTCCAACAATTCTAATAAACACAGCTTGTAAAAGTGAATAATTATGTACAGATAAAAAAGCTAATGCATGCAGCTGGAAAGTCGGAACGAATAAGCATTAGAGCAGTCTAACCAACCTTTAGCACCATTCCTAGGATTCCATAATAAAATTAATCGGGTATTTATCACTTTGTGTAAAATCCATAACGATGAAATCAACAGGGAAAGAAACTGAACAAAAAACTTCAACTGATTTGTTTCCAGATACCATCAAGATATTGGAATTTTGATTTTTCGGAACAGAGGGGTAATGGTTGTTACAATTTGACAATCGTATGAAATAACGTATATACAGCCAAGGAGAGAAGAAATTGGAAATGATTTGATTTACCAAGCGATTATTTGTTCCAGCAACGGGATATACTGTAATTCTGATCAAATTCATGAGTGCGAACTAGATTTACTTTTTAAAAACTCCTTTCTTATTGTACGGACATTAATATAGTTGAACAGTTTAAGGTGGTACAACAATATGACTTGTTCCATATTGTTAAAATTTAACAGATTAGGGATGATAACGTGAAAACTAGTAAGACTTACTCCAGATGAAAAACCCAAACTGCCGTCAAGAATCTGATTCTAAACACAACAAATTAAGGGATAGAGACGGCAAACAGCAAAATCAATTTTAATAAAACTATACAGTTTTATACAAAAGTACTTGGATATATATATATATATATATATATATATATATATATATATATATATATATATATATATATATGCATGCAAAGACCTATGTTGTAACAATTTACACCACTACAGAGAGGAACTTAACAAGATGAAAATTGAAGTTTCAACAGTAGTAGTCGAGAATTAAAATACAAGGAGAATTAAGTAAAAAATTAAAGATGAATGTTCACTCAACTGCAAATAATTCTAATCCGTTATCTAAAGCTTCCAATATAGATAACCATCATCTCACGGATCTAAAACAGAAGGATTGCATCTCCCAATACCTGTTGATCTATCATTCAATGGGTACATTGATTGACCGTACATCTTAGTTTGGTCATATCATTAGCGATTTCACAATGGAACCTTATGCTAGCCAGTATAATTCATAGTGGGTTGTAGTCGCAAATATTTTTTACTAAGTAAGGACAAGAACAGCATACACCACAATAATCTTCGGAACAGGAGTAGGAGAAATTCTAGTCCGATTACACATGTACTGAAGCATCGTAATGTAGCTCGAACACAAGACAAAACTAAGCCATCTACATATAATCAGACATATGGGACCGAAGTGAGTGGATGAATTATGGGTATCCAAACAAATTATATTGTAATTCCTAAAAAGTCTAATAAAACACTAAAGTCAGATAGTGATCACAAGTCTTAGTTACAAAATCTAGGAATTTGTCGTAAAAACATTTGGGGTAAGAAGAAATTGATCCACAGTCACTAAGTAAACAAAATTTCAAAACTAATTGGAAAAAGATGTCTTTAAAAAATTGTATTGAGGATATTGAAACTAATCAAGTTTCCTAAAAAGAGAAATTGTGCGCCTTCGCAAATGAAAGTCCCTAGATCTTTAGATTCTTTCTGTACTATATCCTTACATAAAATCTTTCCTTTAGATATTACACCATTGAGGTAACTACTCCTATGGATCCGGTGTTCGTTTTGCTGTGCTAATGAGGTGTGGCAACTTGAACCGATGCATGTATGTGCCTGGTCCTACATTGTAACTGACTGACTGACTTTAGATTTTTCCACACTTGTTTTCATCAGAATACACAACCGCATAAAATAAAAACATACCTTTAGACTCGTTGAGGAATTCGAAATGATGAAACAAAACATAGAGCCAATCGCAGTTACAAACCATGTTAACCCAGTACCCAGCACAGTTTGTATAAACGGTGAAACATCCTCAATCATGATTACGAAAAAACAATTGAAAATTTGAGTAAAACCACTAAGAATGGTACGTATATATGTCACACAACAATCTACAACCCGAAAACATAAACAGATAAACAAACAAGATTAAACATGTCATACTTGAAAAAAAAAACCACCTAACGGTTTGCTTTTTTTTTATTTAAGAGCTCCTTTCAGCTTTAGTAAGTTTGACAAAAGGGAATTTATTTAATGAATTATCGAAAATAGCATACGTGAACCGTGAATGCCAGTTTAAGACCAATCTAGTTTCACTTTGAATAATTATTATGATAGTCTTATACCTTCCAACTAAAAAGTGATTAGTTCATTCTGTTCGCAAACTTGTGGGAATGGCGAACTTATGAACAACAAGATTACAGAACTTCTAATGGTTAATCGTTTTATTTTTAATCAACATACTCCAACGAATAATAATTACTGGTTACTCACAGACTGAAATTGGTAATTTGTAAGAGCACTGCGTGTCAGCTACCAAAAGATGAAAAATCTAATTATAAATGAGTTTCACATGGAATCAAAGATACATAACATTGGGCATTGTTCTGTAATGACTGGTGGTGAAGCATATATATTCGTTTATCTAGAGGATCCAACACAATGAACAGGAATGTTGAAACCGAACTTTAGGTTGCGTTCAGCTGCATATTTAAAGTCGCTAATTGAAATCATTAGTTAACGCAATGAGATAGTCATAATATGTGGCAATTGAAAATCAGGCTATATCTTGGTATGACAGAAATAGGAAACGTGGATTAATAGTGAGATCAAGTATGTGGACATTTCAAGAGTCCAATTGAGATTTCAATGGCATCCCATATACTTTCAATATGTAACGAAATGTTCATACTTATTCAACAATCAAATATTCATTCCATATCAAAACCTCAGGCATCACGCAAGCACGTTTATCCTAAGCAATAAATACACAGTGAAACACACAATATTGAAAAAAGTTGCGAGTGTTTTCAAAAAATTTCCTTGTTGAAAGACAAGAACACTAAGAAAAATGGAGTACTTATTATATTTGAAAAAGGTAGACAAAATATCAAATTTTCAAATAATCTGCAATATAAAAATGGAAACCAATACAAAATATTCTTTTAGCAAAAATAGTGTTATAAAAATGCATTACATATCGGTTCATATGAAAAAGATGAAGAATCTGTCTATTGTTGTAATCCTTGGATAAGCCAATAAGCGATTTGTTCTAAGTATTCAAAACCGAAATGTACGCCGATATTACGATAAACATCTAAACGACGATAAACTGCATGACCAGTTGGAACAGTTAGTGTCAGCTTCGTAGAACAATCAGCACACTGAGCAACTGACCCACCATTTGCAATCAGCAACTCCTGTATCCCACCACCTACAGTACATTTAGGACACTGGAGATCCTATCAAAGATAATAAGTGCAGTAAAATAAATTTAATGCACACATGTGCATTTAACCAATCATTTATCGTCAAAAATTTTCAAATAATACACGATCAAATTTGAAATTGTTTTCGTCAGAAGCTGGCATCAATAGAAAAACCATAACGGATTACAAAATGAAGTCGTATAGGAATACCAAGTACCAGTAGATTACTTGATAACTAAACTATGTACATATGGTTAGTCAATATAATTATCAAAACATATTAAAAAAGGAGAAAATATGTTAATGAAAGAGTACACTTTTTACCTACATTAAAGGAACTATAAATGACTTCGATTTTTCACATTAGGCCGACAACAAAACATGAAGGAATAATTTATAGTAAAATATCAAGAAAACAAATTATTCATTGAGTTATTGGCAAAACGTTTAGATGTTCTGATAGATATGATACGGCGACGAAAATGAAAGGTAGTCAGAAAGTCACAATTAGTCAAAACTAGATGAGAAGTGAAGTCACATATATATTAACATGACCATGAATGAAAATCATTTTCCCTTTATTTCAAAACTAAAAGTGATATAATATTTATCTAATGATCGCGACGACAATTTATGCATAAAGCACGACAGAATGATAAAAAATCCGAATAACTAGTGGTTTACAGTAAAGAAGAATTACTAGTGATGAAAAATATAGTGACAACAAACTATTTCAGTAATCTGCTCCATGAAAATGCACGTCATGAATGATCCTCAAAATAAAACACATTGCAGCAAATAATGAAACTTATGCAAATATAGACTGAAGAGTGAAAAGAATAGGTACCTTCGGTGCAACATAGAGAGAGTAAAACAGAAGGTGTAATAAAACCTACTGTATGTTGAAATAGCAGTTTGACAGAAACCTCTTAGTTATCGGACTAGGAGGTCTCTTGTGTATTTATATATATGACTGAGATTTATTTGTACGATACAATTTGATTTTGAAAATTAAGCAATCCGGTGCACCAAGGTTATAAAGCCATCTTTTCAGAAGATTTCGACTTTTAGGTATGACTAACACTACATTAACGAAACACTCAGAAAACCACAGAAACCGAGTTAACTTACTATACCTGGAATATGAGATACAATTAATAGAATAGAATTGCAATAGCAGAATTGGATTTAACAAACCTGTAAACAATGTTGAAGTGAGAATTGTTCAAGCTGTTGAACAAGCGCTTCTTCTAGCCTATCACGTGGATAAACTGTTCGACAATGTGGGCATATCCAAGCCCAATAACCTGATGGTCTAGTTTCAACGTGCATTGAATCCATAGATGCCATTATCCAGACAACATGTATATCACGACAAACATCTATGTCCCGTGTAAAATTACACGTTGGGCAAGCAACCTCTGGGAGATACACTAGTAGAGAACGAATAGCAGTTGTTTCAAAAGTATATTTATTTGGATCTTGGTTCAACGGACAATCCCTAACCATATGAGGGGCAATCCAAATGGCCTCAGGTGAAAATTCTCCAACATTTATTAAACGAAGTAAATCATGTCTAATGCTTTCAATGTGTAACTTCGCGAATGGCTCTAAACTCAAAACCTTTTAAGGATTAAGGAAAAAAAGTATGAAAACAGAAAAATAAATACCAAATAAAAAATTCAACTTCGCGACTTACAGTTTCTTAAAACGGAAAACAAAAACTAGAACTACGTAGTGATAGCATACTAAGACTAGGATGTTTTTGATGCTTGAGAAAATCCGTTAACGAACGTAAACCAGTGGCGCATGGTTTCCAGAACGTAGCTTATGAAAGCACCTAATACGAAAAGCGACAAATGAAACTATTTCATTCTCTTGAGACTATTTTGTGTTGAGGATGACTGTTAGAAATGCATCATTCTTGAAGATGGTTTATTGATTACAATAGACCAAATCCGCAGCTGCTTGTAAAGATCGCCCACTTTAACACAGCCTGGAGTTTAAAACTACTATTCACATAGAATTTCCAGCTGAATCGAATCGATAACTTGCATATATAGATACATTAAACAGATTATCTAGTGATATATGGTCGAAGGAATTAAAAATATCAAAGTTAATCCTTTTGTCCAAACAAAGTAGACAGATTTAACAAATTCTTCGTTACGAAAAAAGGAAAGGATGCATGATAACCAAAAAAATGAGCAGAAGAAAATTCAAAACTGAATAATCAGCGTCTGATGAATTGTTTTACGAGTGAACTGATTTTTAGGATTTAGTGTATACACTTTTGAAGAGACGAATGATTCAATCCTGATTGCCGATACATCGCAGACAGTATTGATAACAGAGTTTAATAGAATCAATGACGCGTTTCAGGAGAACCATCAGTGATTCTTTACAATAATTAAACTTTTCTTTTTCGATGACAAGAGGTCAAAGTTGTTTGGTATTTGGATAGTTCAATAATAAGACGAAAACGTTTTTTAATACCCCAATTTCAAAAGCTACTTGATAGAAAACAAGTGAAGGAAGACACCTAAATTTACGCGAATTCCAATAGTTATGATGTGGGAAGTTATATATCTGGGACCAGTGCTATTCTTTAAAAGTAACGCAGCAACACCTTGAACTTAATAGTAATAATTATATATATATATATATATATATATATATATATATATATATATAGAGAGAGAGAGAGAGAGAGAGAACAACATACCTCACACAATGATTTGATGAAATCAAGAAGCGGAGTGAAATTCAGAGTATAAATAGCCTGATGTGCAGGTAAAAGAGGTAGAACTAAGTTCGGACTCGAGTTTTTGTTGTTGTTGGTAGCATCAAACTCTATCCCTGAACCGATTGACTTTTCCGCAAGGTAAGCACTGACAAGATCGTTATTTCGAGGTATGTTTGAACCATTATTTAATTGGCAGGTCCTATTATTACCAATTGACGGGTCAGTTTTTCTCACTAACTCTGGATCAATCCATGCAGCTTTCCGTTGTAGGCGAATAATTAGATTGTATAACTCTGGGGCCAATTGATCTCTAAATAAACGTTCTTCATATTCCTTAACTCCAGGAGAGACAGTAGCGTCTGACTTGTATGGTGTTGTTTCAGCTTCATGTACACAGTTAGGATCTTTATTCACATCAGCATCAAATTCAAGAGATCCGTGTGGTTCATTCTAAAAAAAAGTATAGAACTGTCTATCATGGCTCTTAAAGAAGAACTAACGAAAAATCAAGTGAACGCCTAAGAAAACAATTGTTGATTAAAAATGGGTGTCCTTCATAAAAATGTAAAAAGTTAACATCTCAAACCCTCTTTATAAGAGGTTATAAACTGTAATATTATAAAAATCATACAAAAAATGACTTACCAAAGAACAACTAATGGATTCAATCAAACGGCGATGTTCATTTAGAACTGCATTGTAAATAGCCAAAAGATAGCCTGCCAGAAGACTTTGAAATTTACTTCTTAAACCACGTGTCTCAGGTAAATAACGTGCTAAATGCCAATGCATATCAAGCTCAGGATCGGGAAGATTAGGTTGTCCTTCTATATTGTTTTCCTTATCTTCAGTATGAGTATGAGACT